CATCTGTTGGTTTCAGTTGACAAGGACGAAGTCCCCTTTTGAAAGTACATGCCATCATCATCCCTCCAGAAAAATCAGTGTTTTTGTACATCATCAAATAGCCAGGTGGCATTCATGCTTCCCTTCCTGTCTAGTCTTCATCATCTTCTTTAAAAAATGGTTTAAATCAGGGTCCAGACAAGATCTATGAATTATGATATTGTGCTTTATTAATATGTCACTCAAATCTCTTAATCTGAGTTTCAGATTTCCTCTTCCATGGATTTTTTTACTCCTGGCCTTGTGCGTGTGTATGTGTCCGTGTGGCAGAAAGCCAAGTTTTTATCCTATATGGAGCAGTGGCTCTCAAGTCTCTTTGACCCTCTTAAGAATGACTGAAAACCCCAAAGAGCTGTTGTTTGTATGGGTTAAATCTATTAATATTTTCTGTATTTAAAATTAAAATACGTAATTTAAACTATTTACTTAAAAATAACGGTAGCAAGCCCATTATGTTAATACATGTCTGCACAGTTTTCATGAAACATAATCATAGTTTCCGTAATGGAAAAATGAGAGAAGTGGCACTGTGTTCCATTTTTGAAAATCTCTTTCATGTCTGGCTTAATAGAAAATAGCTGGATTTTCATATCTGCTTCTGCATTCAGTCTGTTGCAATATGTTGTTTTGGTTGAGGTGTATGAAGAAAATCTGCTTTACACAGATGTGGGGTTGGAAAGGGGGAGGAGTATTTTAAGATTTTTCATTAAATGGTGGACATCCTTCTGTGATACTACACCAAAAGTTGACAAGGGGTAGTTTCTTAAAGGTAAGTTGCAGTGGGCAATTTGAAACCCTGACAATGAACTTTTCATACTACATTAAAATCCATTGGTCTGTCATACACTTAAATGGATCCTTTCCATGCATAATTTTGTGACATCAAGCATGGTTATTTGGAAAATACTGCTTCACTGAGTTATGCAAATCTCCCAAATGTTGACATATGTCAAATATAAAATATTTTAAAAATCCTATTCATGACTATTACCACCCATCTCCTTAGAAAAGTATTTAGCTACTGGGAAGCTGTCAAGATCATGGTGGTAGATACACGTTTTCCAAAATCATGGTTTTCCCTTGAATGCTCAAATTGTGTCTTCAGCCACAAATGCTGTCAGTGTTTTCCTTGTCGCTGACAGGCTCACTTCATTTATTTTTGACAAAATATTTGCCAGATATCCAAACCTGAATGAACAAGAGTTTGTTAAATCAATGGCATCCCATGGAAAAAGCAGCTCATTCAGCTTGCGTCTCAAACAGTTCACAGGTGCTCTTCCTTGGTACTTTGACACACCCAAGCGCTCTGTGTGTGCTTCCCCTTTCATCACACAGAATATTAAAAAGATGTGTATTTACATATCAAGACTTAATGAAAGCTGTGACTTGACTTCATCAAGGATGATCTCTAGTGAAACTGGTGTTTCCTGTAAGTGCAAGGTGGTAAAGGAGGCAATGACTACTCCTACCCTCGGGTGCCCTATTTACTCATCGTCGCTTCTGTCCCATCGGTGCAGATGTCAACATAGCAAAGAAGGCAAATCATGGGTATTTTTATGAAAATAGTTTTGACTTCTTGGGCCTTTTGAAAGGGTCTCAGGTCCTCCCAGCATCTGTGGACCACACTTTGAGAATTGTTGCTAAGAGTTTCTGACAGTCTGAATTTTACTCCCTCTCTATTTTTACGGTGTGATTTAACATGTCTCTTTGTATCTGGTATTTCCTGTAACTAGACTTGATCAGATTAGGTTTGGTTTGGTTTTTTCTTGGCAAGACGACTTCACAGATGGTGTTGGGTTTGTATTCTTAGTGGTCATCGATGGCCATTGCCAAAGCCATTCATTTACCGAGGATTGAAAACGGTAATGTTTCAGTATTGTCATTCCTTATTTTTTTTTTAATTTTTTTTAAGGGTAAAGTGGGCATTTTATTTATTTGTTCTTAAACCTGTAAACCAGTCAGCCAAACTGGTACTATTATCATGATACATTAAAATACAAAACATCTTTCTACAAATCCTAGAAAAATGAACGAATTAACAGTTGAGGTTATTAACAAGAAAAGCCTCACAATCTCAGAAAATACAAATTATCCTTCATCACACGTCTTTGTATCTTCACTTCCTATTCTTTAGGTTAGATTCTAGAGCCTAAAGCTATCTACGTTAGGATTGTATCTAGTTATCTATAGCCAGAAACACTTTTTATCATATTGTCCATAGCAGCCAATGCTACTGAAACCTCTGACTCCAATCGTACCCCCTCAATGGACACAATAAGAATAATGGGTGGGGCGCCTGGGTGGCTCAGTCGTTAAGAATCTGCCTTCGGCTCAGGTCATAATCCCAGGATCCTGGGATCACGAGCCCCGCATCAGGCTCCCTGCTCCACAGGAAGCCTGCTTCTCCCTCTCCCGCTCCCCCTGCTTGTGTTCCCTCTCTTGCTGTGTCTCTCTCTGTCAAATAAATAAAATCTTAAAAAAAAAAAAAGAATAATGGGAAACAGAATATGGAGGCAGAGATATATAGGACCTTAAAAGACAAAGCCTAGGAGAAGTAATATAGCCACCGCCCAAACTGAGATCGAATAATATACTCATAGTCACACAGCTTCGGGCTGTATGTTCACAGAGTAATTTGGAAACAAATCCATTATTTGCTGGGTACTAAAATACTTAGCGGATTGTTGTATTACACTATAGCTTTCCCCAGAAGTTTCTAAGATGGACTCCAAATCGCTGATGGAATTTTGCTGGAATTGGATCTGGGGCTACAGGGATTCCTCTCCACAGTTCTGGAGCTTATTGTTCCAGGCTTGGGGGCACCAGGTCTGACTGGTTCAGGAATGGTTGCTCCCAGACTGGCTGTTTCAGGTCTGGTTGTTCCAATTCGGGTTATTCCAGGTCTGGTTGCTCCATACTGGAAGGTTTCTGGAAGTGTTCCTCAGGTATCCCTGGTGGTAGGAATAGAAGCCTGGGTATTCTGCGGTTGCTGTGGTGTTCTGAGTCACACTCTTGCTCTCCTCTGGTCAGTGGTTTTTCTGCACCTTTTACATTTCATTCTCTGGTTCTGGAACCAGGTCTTCACCTGCTTATAGCTAAGGTTCAGAATGTTGGAAAGTTCTTGCATCTGCTGGAGACTGAGGTATTTCTATCTCTGAAATCAATCATTGAGGACATAGAGTTGGGTCGGAGAGAACACGGTCCTGATCTGTTTCTTGCCCTGGGCCGTGTCTTCCTTCCTCACTGTCGTCTCCTCACCAGAAGTGGGTGGTAGTTTTACCCTGGGACTGGTGGAGGAGTCGGGGCTGTCCTGAACAAGCAGATCAATAGAGGAAGGAAGAGGAGAGACAGTCTGCACGTGGGATGTCTCAGCAGATGACATTTTGCAGGGATGCATAATTTTCTTCAGGGCCATAAATCTCAGGCATTGGAGAAGAGTCCCTAGAACTGGGTGCTTCGGGGCCAGGCGGGCATTGGGGCAGAGCTGGATCCTTGCGAATTCTCAGTTAATCCTGTCTCTCCTTCTTTATTTATTAGCAGGAACTCTTTCTAAACTGAAACTTCCTCTCACCAATGATTTGGCTACCCTGAGGTGCAGTTCCCATGGGTCTCATGCAATGTAGGCAGGGTAAATCCTTGTTTCTTTTTCCAGATAATGAGTTGGTTCCCTTGTAGTCTCAAAAGGTGATCAATGAAGTGTTCTTGGTTGGTTTGTTTGTTTTCAATATCAATATGAACTCATGGATTTAAACTTCCTTGATGTGTTTCAGTTCTTTGCAGGAATCCGTTCCTTAGTTTGGCCAGCAGGAGCCTCTTCAAGTTGGCTTCTGAGTTCTTTTGATATGATCTCTGTTGTCTTTGATAGCTTCCTTGCTTTTTGTTGACCAGTTCCAGATTCATCTTGCACATCTGCCACTGAGCAGAAACCAGCCCCTTCTCTGGGAAGACCTCAGAGAAATGGTATTTAGAGACCACAGTCTGAGCAAGTGGCTGCTCATTACTGTTGGTTGTTTCTAGATTTTGTCACTGGGCAAAGCTAGAAAATATGCATATTTTTTAAAGGTTAAAGTGCATTATGAATTCATACTGACACTTTCATTCAAATTTAGGACTTACCCATCTTTCATTGCTTATCAATGACACCAACATAATTACTTACTTTTTTTTATCCCATACCACATAGACAGCAGTCTTGGAATAACAGTATCAATATGACCACTAATAGTGTGATTATGGAAAACTGTTTTGCAGTTTTTAAAAAAATGCAAATTAAAAGCATTATCACAGTTAGCTAGTTGACTTGGTTATCTTAACATAGCCTTATTATTAGTGTTTGCTGTATATTTTAAGACTGCTTCCCTATTTCCCAGAACATCAAATCGGCAGATATCTCGACTGAATTAAATTAATCAATTTACGGAAAGAATCAATCACCCTGTGAATTCATTGAATTGACACAGCACACTTAATTGACAAGTTTAGTGTAGATGACAGTCCTCATGGACTGGCATTTTCTTGTTCTTTTTTATTATCTAAATGGCTTCATTTTGTTTATTAACATTATTACTAATATTAATTCTGTTCTTTATACCCACTCTCTTTTCAATATTTTAAAAAAACAACAACAAAAAAACTACTTAGTGGGCAACAATTTCTATTTATATATGTCATGATTTTTTATTTTAGATGAATATGCTATGAAACAAAGAATTCCTTTTTAAGAATAGAAAAGTTGACACTTTCTAATTTATAAATTTTAGTAATATTGTTTCTTCTATAATTTACCAGGGATTACACTAAGAAAAACATGATATTTTTGAAGCATTTATTTCTAGATCTATGGATATGAGATTTGTGATCAAGAAAATTACATAATTAAGGGAAACTGAGGCAGTGGCCACTAAAATAAAAACTGATTTGTAAGTAGAATATTTAATGATATGCCTTTCCCCCCCTTCCAGGTTCAAAAATAAATCATGACTGAATCTGCCTCTAGCACAAGTGGTCAAGAGTTTGATGTATTCAGTGTTATGGACTGGAAAGATGGAGTAGGCACATTACCCGGAAGTGACTTAAAGGTAAGCTGTCTTTATTAAATACAGTTATCTGTGTGTGTTTATGAAAATAAATTTGACTAAATATGTGAGAGAAGAATTAAAAGCATTAAGCATAACCCTCTAGGCTTCATATGATGCCCAGATCTCTACAGTAAATTTTCAAGACAATTTGAAATGCTGACGACTTGGCAGAAGTCTTTGTCACTTGGGGTGGTGGATGGGAATATTTTGGCAATATGTTCTTATTTTGCAGAAGTTGAATTGTAGCTTCCAGAGGATCATCCCAGGTTTGACTTTATCATGATGGATAATAAATATGGAAATGGTAGGCTTAGAAGACCTAGCTTCCTATGTTTTTTAGTTATGAACTTTATAACTTTAAATGAATAACCACATTCCCTGTGCCCTAGTTTTCTCTATTAAAAACTGGATAAGGTTAAAATATTGAATAGACAGGGTTATTCTCCTCCCTTAAATTATTTATACTATAAATATGGATTTTTATATAATCACTTGTTCAAAAGCTGGTCCTTCCTGTAAACCAGGTTGCTTTTATATAGATGAGAACTCTCTTCAGAGAGTGATGCTTCAGTCTGCTCCTTTCCTGTGTGCTCATCCTGCCCCTTTTCTCAAGCCTCCCTAAACCCATGGTAGGACCACCTCTGCTGCCCTATGAAACATAGTTATGTAAGCGCTCATCCGGGAAGCCAGTCACCCCCACCTCTCATTTCTAATGTGTTTTTGCTCTAATCCTATCTCTGGGACCTTGAACCTGTCTGTGGCCTTTTAGACTTTGTGTTTGTATGTGGTTACTCAGGTGTTTGAACTTCTAATCACCCTAACTGGCTGTTACTTGGCTTTCCTCTGTAGTGGTTGGTGTTGTGGTCTATCTTGAATAGAAGTTCCTGCCCCCAAATAGAGGCTTCCTGGAATCCAGTATCTTTTAGTGGCTACTTGACAAATATCTCAGCCAAGCCCATTCTAGTTCATCCTCAGTGGTGAGATCTGGACAATCCGTCATTGGAAGAATACTTAGATTTTAGTTGGGTTAGGCTGAATTAAGTGCAGTGTGCCAATGTATCTATCTATCTGAGTTTAGCTTAATAAAAATACTGCAATGAGGTTCATTGAAATCTGGAAAGGAGATATGATTTTTAGTTTTAGTTCTGAATGACCTTGAACAAGTCAGTTAGTCTCTTTGGGCCAGTTTCCTTTTTGGTGAAATAAGGAATTAAATGAATACTCAGGATTTTATCTGCTCTAACATTCTCCAAATGTTCATCTGGATTAGATATGATGGGAATCGAGTGCTGAAATTTGTGAGAAAGAAAACTGTTCCAGACGCTTATAATGTCAGCCTCATAGTAGCTACATGAGCTTTGTCAAGTTATTTAAATTTCCTAAGTTTCAGAATCTTTATCTATAAAATGAGGAAATAGGATCTATGTCACAAGGTGGTTATAAGGATTGAAAAAAATAACATATGGAAACACTTAACAAATTATATCTTTTCTGGCTTTGTGATATATTATGTAAGCTGCCTTTTTTTTTTATTGCTTTATTCTTGTATTTTCCTTGTACATTTTTGTCCCTTCTCAACTGTGTTATTTTGATGTCAGGTAGATGATGAAATTTATAACTTTTGTGCAGTTAGATTTTGAACTTTCCATCCCTAAGAAATTTAAATTGCCTGAAGGTTTTCTAAACAACGGATTTTAGGAATTAACCTATTACTTTTATTAAGGTAATCAGGTAATTAAGCCACTTAGTGGGTATTATAATCTGGTTTATTTTATTTGACTTTTAGGTTCATCTAATTACCTAGGTAATTGCCATGTAGCCAATTCACTATATGTACTGTAGACGGTTTGAAACCCCACTTCTAAAAAAAAAAAAATTAAAAAATTTTTTTTGTACTTTATAACCATTTTTACCTGAAGAGATTGAAGAACAAGCCAGTTGATTATGTTACTTAGGATTTCTAAATCACTTGCTCCTGGTATTAATGTCTGAGTTGTTTAAGAGACTTGATTGAGAAATTGATTTTTCACAAAAATAAGATACTAAAAAGAACTTTGAATAAAGCATGAGATTTACTCTCTGACATCGTGCCTTGTCTATCTTACATTACTGAAGCTTCTGTTTTTTAATGGGTATAGGTATGTGGATTTCCTCATAAACAAGGTGCTCTCCTAAGACAGCCAGCTCAGATTAGTGCAGCCCATATAATCAGCTAATACACAGAAGTCAGTTTCTTATCATGGGAACAGGTTTTTATATGCTTCAGTTTACTGCCATTTTGAAAGAACGTTTCTCTGTAAAACGTTGCTGGCCAATCAAGTTATGTCACTCTTCTGCTTAAAATCCTTTAGCAGTTTCCTGTCTTTCATGGCAAAGTTTATCACAGAAGTTTTTGGTGATCTGGCCGCTACTTTCCTCCAGCTGCATCTCATTTCACCCTTCTGTGCCATCTTGTTTCCTTTCCAGCCCAACTAGCTAGTTGAAGGCTTCACACCTTGGTCTGTTTATGCTTTTTCCTGTTGCTGGAATCCCCTTGCCCCTCTTCATCCTGGACTAACCAATCTTTATATAAAACGGAGTGCAAAATCTTTTCATTTGGGTGCAGCAGTGGAAAGAATAGAGAGCTTACTCTCTGATGAGCACTTTATCTGCATCTTTTTATTTAATCCTTTTCTTTAACAGTGACAGTTCTTGTCACTGTTGTCAGTTTACAGATGGGAAAACAGAGGCCCAGAATGGTTAAAGCATTTGCTCAAGGTCAAGATATTGGCAGAACTGCGTCTAAAGCCGGGCTTTTCTGATACTGAAATTGATTCTCTTAATACTACTATACTACTGTCTAAAGGGAGAAAATGTTTCATAACAAAAGAGATACAGGGAGAATGTTAGCGCAATTTAGAGGAGGTATTATTTTAGCTGGAGGGATCAGGAAGGCTTTGGGAAGTAGCTGTCATGTGGGCTTCAGGTGTCTGAAAATAGGTCGGCATGGATGTGAAGACTTCTGCTGGCAGGGATGGTAGGCAAGAAAGAGAAGGACTAGCCTAAGAAAGTATAGTGTTAGGGGAGAACGGCAAGTGTCCACTGGCCCTCTTGGAAATATTATAGTCATCCACAAGACATTTTTGCTTAAACAAGCTTTGGAAACTGTACCACTGCCTAATTATTCTGTAAAATGGCAAATTAGTATTTGTAGATTAATTTCTCAGGACCAGCCATACAAACAGGCAGGTATTAAGTGGTAGTGGGAGGGTGCATGGTAGGGCTCCCTGTCCCTAAGCAGTTTCTCTCTCTGAACTTCTAATTGATGTCTGAAATTTATCCACAGAGAATTATTCCTCTGGGTCATAAGGATTTAGCTGTTTGAAATCCTTTAGTAAAATGCAGATGCACTCCTGGGAGCGATAGCATCTTATCTAGTAAGAATAGTTGCCACTTAACTGAGAGCAAGACCCTGCAGCAGCAATGCAGAAACCCAACTGGAAAATTCACTGTGTGTGCTTAGTGCAGTTTTGCCTTGTTGTGATGAATGTTCAGAAATGTGTAGTTACCAAAATCTTTGCTCTTAAAACAGATCAGTAAGTAGAACTCACATTTCAACATGGAAAGTAATAAAACAAAAATAGTAACCTCGGCAGCGTCTTTTAGTGATCTCTTATTAAAGACGGGCAAAAATCAGCAAAGGATCCTTTGCCTCTACAAGAAAAAATAAAGAAGAGAATTGAATCAATTAAAGGTAGTTCAAGCCAAGCTAAACAAACCAACCTTTGCAACCCCTTGTATATTTCAGGCATAATTGTTTTCTGACTGATCTAGTTGTATCCACTAACAGAACAAATTACAATGTCAGCTGATGTGTTTGATGTGCTTAATCAATTTCTTTTGTAAAGTTTATAATTTTGATGTTCTTGATTATGGAATGGAGCCACTCAATAAATTTTTATGCTGGTTTTTAGATGCCTAAGTTAAAAGAACTAGTAACTTTGAAAAAAAGAAATAAGAGGGATCATTTCAAGTCTCCATGGCTCTAAAACCATTCATAAAAGCATTCCCCATTTCAGAACCTGAGGGTTTTATTGGGGGAAAACAATGTTAGGGAATGTGTCAGTCTTTCTGGAATTCCATCTGTGGAACTCCAGTAATGCTGGCAGCACCTAACAGCCTATGTGGTCCAGCATTTTCTACAATAGCAACATTGTGAAAGACAGTAAATCCAAATTGAGAAGCCAGAAAAAAAAAAAAAATTAATCCCTATGTCTTTTTGCGTATAATAGGATACTTTGAAAACACTTGGAGGTTAATTTTTGAGATAAAGTAACTTTGGTGAGATGTTCTTTACTTTTTCAGGGTTATAGGATGCCTTTGGGAATATGATGAAACTTATGAACCCGATCCCCAGAAAAATATATATGTGCTCCTGACGTAATTTTGCATGTATTTCATGGGATTCATCAGTCTCCTGAAGTCCAACTATGGATCCCTGGCTTACAGGAGTTAATTGTGTCCCTGAGTGTTGTGACATCTTTACTTTGTACTTTGGCTGTAGTTCAGTTACTGGCAATAAGTATTAGAAGGAAAAGATAATTGGGATTAATTGTTGTATTGTGGGAATATTATCTTTTAACTTTGAGAGTAGTTGAGCCTAAAGCTTCCAAGTATCATAACTCTGAAAGTGTATTTAAAGATTCCACTGAGTGGTGTTCTCTTTCTCAGTGTTGGAAATGCAGGGTGCCTCCCAGCTTAGCGGCAATTTGGAAACTTAATACCACAGGAGACTCTCAGTGTAATGCAAATGGTGCTGTTTCTCACATTTTATAGTTTTCAAATAGGTATAAATTAACATCAGCATATAATAAAAGTAAAATTACTTACCTGAACTGAATGACAAAGGTCATGTCTATGGTTTTGTTAAACTTTCATGCAGAATTTATTTTTTGTCTTACTCTTTAATATCATTAATTAGTAACATTATGGCTTGTTTTTTCTACTCTTGCCCAGTAGATGGTACTGTCAGCTTTATTTTGAAATATTCCCTTTTCAGAGTAGACCATTTAAAATGTTTTTTTCCAAAAAGTAAAGTTATTTTTAGCTCTTTTCCTCTCAGTTACCTTTTTGCCACTTCCTAGATTGATATTTTTAGGTGAGCACACTAGGTATAGTAAACACATGTTAGCTGGGAACTTCTATCTGAAATACGTAGTAGAAAACATTTTCACTTTTATTAACAATTTCAGCTTTGTCGGCCTAAAGAGCTTTTAATCACTGTAGAGTACATGCATAAAATTTTTTAAGGTGCCGTGTTTTCCTGGTGGAAAGAATAGTAATTTTTGCTTCAGCTTTTTCTGACTGGTAGTCTGAATGATTAAATGAATCCTCCTATGGGCATGTTGACTAAATAGATGTTTTAGATTGGGGAGTGGAAGGTCTTAAGTTTCACTACTACATATTGGCATGCTCATCCATATTTCTGCGAAAGATCTAAAAACTTTAAGCAAAAAAGTTTTATAATCTTTTGAATCGTGAGCTTTCCAGTTTTTCACCAGCTGTCAAAATTAGTGGATCCTTGGTGTCATTTTATTTTATGGAAAAACAGAGGACTATGGAAAACTTTGAACTTCATGAATAGGAGAGAAAACTTAGTTGTTTCAAAGGGGATTGGGGGAGTGGGGTCTCTGCACATAGATAGTAGTTAAGCCTTCAACACATGCACAGTACAACCAGGCTATTGCAGAAACATATTTGATTTGAAGCTTGCCATGAGATGAGAGGAAATTTTCAATATTTGGAATCAAAATGTCCATGAAATCAAAATGCCTATAATTTTTAGTGATAGCATTGGCCAGTAGCTAGTAGTTTTGTTCAGATCTCCATAGACTTTACCAGTTGTTTTGGAGGACTCCAGGTGAATAGGATGGAGAATTCCAAAAAGCAGTGAAACAAAGAAGTATGGAGCTGGGGCTCACATGGTCACACATCAGCCTTCCTCGTCTACATCTTGGAAATACAAGGAGATGCGAGTGCAGGTCATTATTTCTGGAAGAGAGATTTCTTTCTCTTGGCCTGGGTGAACTTGGGTGAGACAAGTTGATTCCTGGGAAAACAGTCATTCTTCTTTTACTAATTTTGATTACTAAGTAAGTAGTATATAAGGAAGAAAAAAAAAGTCCTAGCAAAAACTGGTGTTTGAATTTATAGAGTACACGGAGTGAGCAGTCAGTTCTACTGACACAGTGTAGGGTTGGTTGGTTATCGTACTCGAAGAAGTACCTTGCTGCTTTTGTTCTGTTTTCCCTTCCCTGAATCCCCAAATTAGTAAAATGCAAAGGACTTAATATTAGTAGAGGGCTTATCTAGATCTGTTTGCTGAAATGAACTTTTAAAGCATAATTACTTTGCTTAAAGACTATACGTGTCAGCCATGAAACAATTACCATTTTGAGCGGTTTTGTAAATGTCGCCTCTTTCCACCATGTTGTCTCTAGTTTCGGGTGAACGAGTTTGGAGCCCTGGAAGTTATCACAGATGAGAGTGAGATGGAAAACGTGAAAAAAGCAACAGCTACCACAACTTGGATGGTACCAACTGCTCAAGAAGGTAAGAATGGGTCGTCTGCAGGGCCTTTCTTTCTTTTGAGAGTTTTAAAATAAGACTATCTGGTTTTATAATAGGCTGGAACTTTGAAAATCCTGGGTGATTTTCATGTCATGTGTTCTTAAGTAAATTTCTATAACAAAACTCATATGGAACCAACTTTTATATTTTAAAATAACTATAAACTGTCTTCTTTCCTAATGCCAGATCTGTAATAGGACAAGGTTAATTGGAAATTATCAAGTAAATCCAGTGTTGTAATAGCCTACCCAGGTGATTTAGCCAAAAGTCTGCCACTTTTTTCTCATCTACTCCGATGGTTGTAACTAACACCTATATGCTGATGACTCCTAAATCTATATCTCCAGCCCCGACCTCTCCCCCGAGCTCCAGGCCCGTATTTCCACCTGCCTACTGGACATCTCCACCTGGATGTCCCACAGGTACCTCAAACTCCACATGTCTGAAATGCGATTCATTTTCTATTTCTTTCTTCCCTTCCCCCAAACCTGCTCGCTCTTCTATAACCCATATTTCAGTTGGTGGTAGCACCATCCACCCAGTGGACAAGTAAGAAATCTAGGAGTCATCCTGAATTTGTCCTCCCCCAGTCCCATGGCCTGTTACTCAACCCTCTTGGTTTTTATTTCCTAAATACGTCTCAGATCTGGCTTTTTCTACTAATGATCACTGCCACTGCCTCAGTGTAGGTCCTTGTCAGCTCTCACCTGAACTATTGCAGACTCCACCTCGAGAATCACTCTGCTGCTAATTTCACCTAATTGATCCCACACCTTGAAGTCAGAGGAACTTTTGTAGATCGCTTATCTGACACTTCACTGATTTCTTATTGTCTCTGTAGCCGAACATACAAAGATCTGGGTGGCACCACCCACGGGCTTGCGGTGTCTTTGCTCTCTGTTCTGTCTGTACACAGTGTCCTGGTAGGGCTGGCAGCACTGAATTCCATGTCATTCTCCCAGCACATCATGTGGTATTGTGCTCCCTTGCCTTTGCCCCTGCTCTTTCTTCTGGCCGGGATGCCAGTTCTCTCTTTGTCCAGTTGGTAAATGCCTCTGGGCCTTCAAAACCCAGTTGAGGCTTTATATGAGACAGTCCTTCCCTGACCTCAGTCCAGGCCGAGTGAATCACTTCTTCTGTACTCCTTCTGGAACTTGTTCATACTTTAATTGCATGTATCACATTTTTTTTATAAATATTGGGTTTTCTTGCCTGTCTTCTCTTCTAGACTGTGAGCTCTCTTGGGCAAGGTCTGTACTATCATTATCAGTGTCTAGCGTAAATTGGTGCCTAATAAATGTTTGCTGAATGAATGATTAGCCTAACAAATTCAGGCAAAAGGAAGCGTGAGTTCCTAAATGATTTGGATCATTATGGTTTAGGAGACCTTTTACATGAAAAGTCACATAGGTGGTGATTTAGCCAATTTAGCAGAACAAAGCCACTCATTGAAAGGTAAACAACATAGATAACCCTTTTTAAATTGTGTCAAAGATACATCTATAAAATAGGATTCTGTAGGTTGACAGTTTCATCTTCCGAGTTTAGTAATGAAATTTTCTTTATTTTACTTTGAACTCTGTAGAAAAAGCCTTGGATAAACTTTTATCTTTTCTGCAGAATATTTTTTGTTGGGTAAATGATTTGAATGATTCCTGCCAAGTCCCTTCTCTTCCCTCTCCCACGAACTATAGATCGGTCATTCATTCATTCAACAAACATTATTCTTTTATTGTGTCGCTAACAAAATTATTAGAGGAAAAAGTGTAAATGTATTTTGGAATGTTTTCTGTCATGGCTTTCACTGTTTTTGTTTTTGTTTTTGTTTTTGTTTTTTCCTCCTTTTCGTCTTCTAGTCTTTTCGGAGAAGACTGGGATGCCTTTCAGGTTGAAGGATCCAGTGAAAGTAGAAGGGCTTCAATTCTGTGAGAACTGTTGTCATTATGGCAATGTAGATGAGTGTCTTTCTGGAGGAAGCTATTGCAGCCAGAACTGTGCCCGGCATATCAAAGACAAGTAGGTTTTTGCCCTGTTCCATCTGTAAAACGGGTTTTAGAGTCCAACGTCATGGTGCTTGGGAATACAGAGGCGCTCTGACATCTGTCCCCCACTCATGCCCTTTTTTTCCCCCAGAGACTTTTCCTTTAGAGACGCGTGGACCCTGACCCCATTACTTCCATCATGTCTGGTCTGAGTTGTACTGCATAAGTCCTGTCTGCAAGGGTGACCTGTGTCTCTTCAGCCTTTTGATGACCTCGTGTGCTCCCTAGCTGAGAGTATTTCAGTGTCTCTGGACCACATACATTTTGATGATACGGATGTTTATGGAAAAGCAGTTTTGTTTATATGTGGGGGGTTCTTAGGTAACTCACCCAAAACTCCACCAATGAAACGGAGCCACCACAAACCGGGGACCAGCTGAATGAAGATGGCCGTAGAGAGTTGTGTAATGAGTTGCCCGACCTCAGACCTCAGCGCAGACTGAGGTTTAGGAGACAGTGCTGTGGGCCCTGGCCATTTGGGGACTGTCTGACAAGTTCAGCTAATCACCACGGTGCATTTTTGCATATAATTTTGTACCACAAAGCAGTGACTTGACCCTTATATTTTCGTGGCATTTCCCATGTATTTTCACCAGCATAGGCCTGGGAATTGTCTGTTTTTGTTGGCCAGCTTTTATTTTACAAAGTTACACTTGGCCTTTTTTCAGTTGCACTTGTCATTCTTAATAATTGCTAGATCCTTGCATTAAAATGGCCCTGAAGACCAAAACATCTCTAAATAATTGATTCTTTTATTAGTGTGGATGGCAGATGTGAAAGACAGATGATTTTAAACTTGTTAGAGCCTGTTTCACATACAGCGCTGATCCCCTTTTGAAATTAATACATAAGCTAATTTCCATTTTCTACCCTGAGCTGTTACACATGACAGTGGTTCCACGTGTTCCTTAGCTATGAAATTCTGATGCCTACACTCTTCTCCTGGTGGTTCATGTTTTTCCTTTGGAGGATATTTTTTTTTTTAAGTTGCATGATAATCAACATGTAGATGTTTGATAGGTATTGTTTCCTGTCACTATTTTGGGCTTATAAACACAACAGAGATCAGAAGGAAGAAAGGGACATAGGAGAAGACAACGAGGAAGAAGATCCTAAGTGTAGTCGGAAGAAGAAACCGAAATTATCTCTGAAAGCCGACTCCAAGGAGGATGGAGAAGAGAGAGATGACGAGATGGTTAGTATCTCCTGCGCACCGACCAAGGGGCACGGGGGTGCTTCTTAGGAGAGTAGCACCCCGGTCAGAGGCACTGACTTCCATTGGTGGTTCCATGACACTCCATGGTACTGTCGGCAAGTTACCTCCCGACCCTCTTCTGGGTGTCACTGTCCACCTTTCAAAATGGGAATAGTAATAGGACTCCTCCCTCAGGCTGAAGAAGTAGGATGTGCTGAAATTTATTACTGATGGGAGAGGCCACAGCAAAATCTTCAATCTCTCTCGATAGCAAAAATGTCAATCCCATTTTGGTAAATTGCAGATCTCATAAAACTATGCAAGTAGGTAGAAAATGGCAGACAAATGTCAGGTATATTTAGGGGAAACTAATTCAGAATGTGCTAATTAAAACATACATATCTTATTTCTAAAGTATATATTTGTGATCCTGTATGAAAAGAGAACTTTGGGGCGCCTGGGTGGCTCAGTTGGTTAAGCGACTGCCTTCGGCTCAGGTCATGATCCTGGAGTCCCTGGATCGAGTCCCGCATCGGGCTCCCTGCTCGGCAGGGAGTCTGCTTCTCCCTCTGACCCTCCCCCCTCTCATGCTCTCTCTATCTCATTCTCTCTCTCAAATAAATAAGTAAAATCTTAAAAAAAAAAAGAAAAGAGAACTTTGAGGTCTTGAAGACTTTCCCTTCAGATCAGTGTTGAGCCACCAATTATTTGCTGGTCTCTCTCCTAGGAGCTGGGAAGACAGGGATGTGCGGCAGCAGGAGAACAGGATCTCTTCTCAGGGACACCACATTCTTTTAAGGGGACATCTAATAAACAGGAGACACGGCAGCCTGTGATAAGTGCTGTGGGAGAATAAAGGAGGGCACCAGGAGTGGTTGACTGCTTTAAGCTGGGTTGTTAGGGAGGCCTCCCAGAGGAGGTGGCACGAACAGTGTGGTCTGGGTGATAAGAGGGAGCCAGCTTTGTAAAAGAAGGACTGAGGAGGCCCCAGGGCAACGGAATGGCCGGGGGTTGGGGGGGGCGGGGAAGAGCCCGTAAGGCAAGAACCTGTGTGACGTGTTTTGTTTGAGGAAATAAAGAAAGACCTTTTAGTTGAGCCTTACAGGTTAAGGGGGAGTGGAGTAAGATGAAGTTGAAGAGGTCCAGGCCATGTAAGGCTTCATGAGAAACCAGACTAGTGGGGTTTCATTCTGTTTTGTGTGTGATGGGAAGCCACTGGAAGGTTGAGGGCAAGGAAATACGGTGATATGATTTATGTTTTAAAGCGATGGCTCTAGCGTTGGTATGTGGGACCGAGAATGAAATCAGGGAAACCCACAGTTTATTGCAGTAGACTCATTAAGAGGGCTACGGAGGATAGAAGTCACTGGATTTAGGGTAGGTGTTGGAGGCAGGGTCATCACGGTGTGTGAGGGAGAGAGAAGAATCAGGAATAACTCAGGTTTTGGCTTGAACAGTTCACTGGATAATGATGCCATTTATCGAGGATGGGAAGGCCAGACTGGAGGTCAGAATCTAGAGTCCTTTGGCATGGTGAGTTTGAGATGCTCATTAGGTGTCCAAGTGGAGATCCCAGGTGGGCGGTTGGATACATGAGTGTGGCGTCAGGGAAGAGGTCAGGGCATACAGACTGGGGATATTTGGCAGACAGACGATATTTAAAACCCAGGGAGAGGGGTTCAATAGAGAAGAGAAAGGAAGTGGGTTAGAGGAGATACCAGCAAAGGGACGGAGAAAGACAGGCCAGTGGGGTGTGAGGAAAATCCGAACACAGTGGTCAAGGAGCTATAAGAAGCAAGTGCTCCAGGAAGGCAGGGGTTGGTATCTGTGCTGGTGCAGAGTGTGATTCTTGGAAACGTTCTTATTTTGTAATGACCTCAGGCCAAAAGCAACACAGTTCTCAAATGACCTATATTCTTTCTTTCTTTAGAAGTTACGAAGTGAAATTGAAGAAACGTACAAAAAATAATAATGCTTTCTGACAGCTCTCTAACTTTTCATTGGTGCCAGTTTCATGCTCTTTTAAAATCATTAATTGTCCTTTCTTGCTGTAGGAGAACAAACAAGATGGAAGAATCCTAAGGGGTTCGCAGAGAGCCCGAAGGAAAAGACGAGGTGATTCGGCTGTATTGAAGCAGGGTAAGTTGATGAAAGAAAGGTTTTACTTGTGGCTTTATGAAGTGGAAAACATTTCACACAGGTAGACATTTTAGTCTTAATTGTAATGTACGCTAGGGCAGTGAAGATATTGTTTTGGGTTTTTCTTTGATTAAATTTTGTCAATAAAAATCAGGGTTTTGAAGAAGTAGATAAGGAAAAAAATGGAAATTTGAACTGTTGAGTAGTGTCCGTGCAAACATGAAAACATCTTCCTATATTTTTCCATCAAATAGGTTTTTTTTTTCCTACTTTTGCACATTGACTAAAACCTTTGTTCTTGTTCATTTCCTAAGACTTTAAGTTTTTTATGTTTCCTCTCAAACCACAACCTCCTAATGGGGAACCATTTTTGTTTCTGTCATTGCTCCTTAGGCAACACTTTATTTTTATGATGAATCCAGTCCTCAGACCCTTTCCTTTTATAATTGACTGGATGACCTTGCCTCCTTATTCAGCATGGTCCTGAGCTCATTTCCATTGAGGCCTCAGTATCCTCCGGTAGGGTTTTGTCTCGCCTTTTTGACCCATCCCATCTGCCCGCCAGCCCTTCATCTTAGGGCAGCCCCTCCGCCGACCTGACCGTTCATGTTGTCCCTGCAAACCGGGGCCAGGAAGCCAGTGTGCCTCCTCGCCGCTTGGATGCACTGCTTGCTCGTTCATCTCTCAGTTCCTCAAAGACAGCTTCAACTATCTCTGCCTGCCTCAGGCACAGAGCCTAACTCTTATATTCTTGGGGGAGATGACCTTCTGTTTTACATCACTGAGATGAGAAGGGGTAAATTTCTCACTCTGGTCTCTGCCTCACAAATGTTTTAACCTTTCTCTCCCTTCTGCTTTTCTACCTTTGGGGTCCTGGCTCTTCTGGGACCTTATTCTCCAGTCATTTATTTTTTTCTCCCTTAGGTATTCAGAATTTCTTTTTTCTTTTCATGGGCTCCATCTTAGCCTGCTCAAATCTCATTCGCCAAATAACTTTCACTACCCATCAAGGTATTATGCTCTTCCTTTCAGTTCTATTATTTGTTAAATTAATCCAAAATAAAATTGATATTGGCTGGCTGCATGTCTTTATCACTTACAGATTCTTTGGCAGCTCAAAATCTGGCCCTTGCTGAATTGACCACCCCCTCCCCTCCCAAATTAGCAGCCATTCCCTCAGCACTCAGTGCACTGGCCTCTTCTTAGTCCTTAGCTTCTTGATTTCAGGAAACATTTTTTGATCATCTTGTTTCATAATACTGCTCTATCTTGGTTTCCTGTGTTGTGTCCTTCATTTATTCTAAATTCTTCTGCTGCTTTCTTCTGCCATCATAACTGGTCACACACCACAGTTTACTCCTTAGCTTTTGCTTCTTTGGAAGAGGGGCCAGGAGGAGACGGAACTGCCAGCCATGGAAGTAAAAGAATGGCCTGGCATAGTAGTGGTTCGGGAAGTGAGACTTCACAAGATACACCTCTGACTTCTTAGATTTGGGAACCCTACTAGCCTATTAGTCTCACTTGCTTTTCAGGTTTGCCTCCTAAAGGAAAGAAAGCCTGGTGCTGGGCATCCTATCTGGAGGAGGAAAAGGCTGTGGCAGTGCCCGCGAAGCTCTTCAAGGAGGTACGGACTCTTCTAGAAAACACTGTCTGCATTGTCTGTAAGGGCGTTGTCTACAAGGGCGAAAGCTCTGGAATTCTGATCTGGAATTAGTGTTGTTTGTTTAGGAAATGTGACTTGGGATAATTTCTCAAGCATATTGTTTTTCGTTAGTGTATTTATGTGGAGGGGTAAGTGCGAGGGCAGCTAATGTTAATATATGCTGACCACCACCTCCCCCCCCCCCGTGCCACATGCATGGGCACATGTCGAGATACACATGCTCTTTCAACCTTTACTGGGCTTTCACTCAGTAATTTTAAGAGGGGTACCTCGACTACTGCCGAAAAGCTCGTAGATAAAGAAAACCTGGCATGAAATTTCATGTCAACATTACGGTTTTGGGAGAAATGAAAATGAGTTAGAGGTTTATATAATATCACAACAAAAATCTAAAAGCAGGTTATTGTATTTTATTAACTGTAATAAAAACATTTTGTCTTAAGTGACTTAAGCTCAGAAGTATAGATACCAAGTGTGGTTCTGAGTGGGAGCTGCCCTCCCCGGGCTAAACCTGGGGTCAGGAAGCTTTTTCTGTAAAAGGGCCAGATGGTCTGTGTTTTAGACTTTGTGGGGCATCTGGTCTCAGTGGCAGCAACTCAGTTCTGTTGTAATGAAAGCAGCCATAGACAATATATAAAGGAAGGGCTATGGCCATGTTCTTGTAAAACTTTATTTATAAAAACAGGTTGTGGGCTGGATTTGACCCATAGAGTGTAGTCCGCTGAACCTTGTTTTAAATTATTTAATTATATTTAATCATGGCGTGTAATAAATCCTCCATTGATACCTTGTTAGATATGCATTCAGATAAGCAGTTTTAAAAAATGATGAATAGTAAATGTTATGATGATTACATCTATATTAGGAATATTTAATTTAAACGTAATTGTAATTACGTATGAACTTGTTCTGTCTGATTATTTTCTGTAACTTTGATTCTTTGTAGAATAGACTTTTTTACATTAAAAAAAGTTTAAATATACCTAATTACTTGAATCAGTAAAACAGTCATGTAATTCACCCTGTAAAAGTACTAGAAGAATGTGAAGTATGTCCCTCAGAGCCCGTCCTCTAGGTCCCAGATTTGCCTCTCCCAGTAATAAGTGATTACTGTTACCAGTTCTTCCATCCCCTTCCTAGAAAATTGTATGTGCAGATAAGCAGTAGGTATACACAGATCCTGTCCTCCTCATTTTCAACCAAATGGTAACATGTCATACACACTGTTTTAGACTTTGCTTTTTTTTTTTTTTAAACTTAGTTTGGAAAGGAGTCCATCTCAGTTCATGAATCCCTTCATCATTCTTTTATATTCATAATATGACATCTTATGTCTGTTCCATAACAAGTTAAGCTGCTCCCTATTGGTTGACACATATATGTTAATATATGACACATACACGACAACCACAAATAAATGTTTTGTGAATGACCTTGTACACCTGTCATTTTGCACATAATGTGGGTATCTCTTTGGATAATTTCCCAGAATTAGAATTGCTGAGACAAACCGCATGTCCTGTTCGCATAGATACTGGGAGGTGGTTAGAGGTTGTGCCGGTTTCGACCCCTGTTAGATGTATGTATGCGCCTGTCCTCCCAGAGCCTTGCCCGCACTGTGTTACCAGACTTTTTGATCTTGACAAACCTGATTAGGGGAAGTATGTTTTAATGTAATTTTACTTTGTATGACTCTCATGGGTGAGGTTGAACATTTTTTCAGATATGTAAAACTTTTCCCTTTCTGTGACCTGTGTATAGTCTTTGTTCATTTATCGTTGGATTATTTGGTGGTCCTTTTCTTTTGGATTTTTAAGAATTATTTATGTATTTGTTAGTCTTTATTTAAGAATGGTAATTATTCACATTTTAATTGGACGTTCAGGATAAAATACTAAAACTGCTGTCATTTTGCATTTTAGTATCAGTCCTTTCCATATAACAAAAATGGGTTTAAAGTTGGCATGAAGTTAGAAGGTGTGGACCCTGAGCATCAGTCTGTGTACTGTGTCCTCACTGTGGCTGAGGTAAGCCTTGCCTTGTCTTTATTTTTGCAATACAGTGGTGATTCTGGGGTTTTAATAATGGGAAAAGGTGCCATCTGTTCAGTGCTTATTTCATGCCAGGCATTGTACTTACTGCTTTGTGCGTTAACTCACTGAATCTCTACAAGAATCCTATGCAGGTCATGTTTTTTCATTCCTGTTCTATAGGTAAAGGAACTGAGGCTCAGAGAGGTTAAGTGATGTATGCAGGGCCACACAGCTTCAAAGTGATAGAACCAGGATTTGACCCCAGGTCCATCTGACTCCATAGCTTTGGTCGTACTGTGGTTCCTTCACATAGGAAACAGACCAACAGGGGCGTCTGCGTGCCTCAGTCAGTTAAGAGTCTGCCTTTAGCTCAGGTCATGATCCCAGAGTCCTGGGATGGAGCCCTGCATCAGGCTCCCTGCTCAGTGGGGAGTCTGCTTCTCCCTCTCCCTCCACGCCTCCCCTCCCCATCTTGTTCTCTCTCCCTCTCAAATAATTAAATAAAATCTTAAAAAAAAAAAAAGAAGAGAAAAAGAACTAGACCAACAGATATTTGTGTATTTTTTAGTATTTCAAGGTACCTCTGTGAAATTTTTTAGGAAAAATTGTCCAAGTCTATTTATATATATGTCAGTCTAGTATATTACTGAGAGCATTTCTTAGAATTTATTTTTTCCTCCTGTGCAGAATTCACTTTTTCCTCCTGTGCTAGCCTCCACCTTCCTCCCTCTCTTGAGCCAGGGGTATGTGTCTTTAAAAATTCTCCCAAAGGGGCGCCTAGGTGGCTCAGTAGGTTGGGCATCCAATTTTTGAGCTCAGCTCAGGTCATGATCTCAGGGTCATGGGATCAAGCCTCGCATCACACTCAGTGTGGAGTTGGCTTGACATTCTCTCCCTCTGCCCATCCCCACACTCACGTGCCCTCTGTCTCGAAAACAAAATAAATAAAGTCTTTAAAAATTCCCCCCAAAAGAATAAGATGATCTCTTGTGTATTAGTTTTAGTTATCATAATATTCTTTCAGTGACTTAGTGAATTTGTAAGAAGCTTGGCTCCTGTGGAACACAGTAACATCTGATGGATGATGACAATTATGGTAAATAATGATGATATACAGTTACATAGAGAGGACCATGGGACAGATGCTGAGCTTAGTGCTTGCCATGTATTAGCTCATCTTAGTACCCTAAATAATTGAGGAAGCATTGTGAAGAAGCAGATTCAGTTAAGTGTAGCCTGCTTTTGAGAAGTTTAGCTGTAAAAAAGGGGATCTTTTTAAGGTGTGTGTGTTGTGTGTGTTCCAACTCCTCATTTTGAAGGAGATATATTTTAGTTTGTCTAGCTTTTTACTATAATAGTAATGTTTGCTCATCATGAAAACTTCAACTAGTATAAGAACATACATTAAAATAGGGACGCCTGGGTGTCTCAGTCGGTTGAGCGTTGCCTTCAGCTCAGGTCATGATCCCAGGGTCCTGGGATCGAGCCCCGTGTCAGGCTCCCTGCTCAGTGGGGAGTTTGCTTCTCCCTATCCCACTCCCCCTGCTTGTGTTCCCTCTCCCTCTCTCTCTCAAATAAATAAATAAAATAGTTTTTAAAAAAAGAATATACATTATAAGAAAAGTCCTCTATCACACTCCTTGCTTTTCCTTATTCCAGATCCCAGAGATAATGACCCTTATGCATTCACTGTGTTCCATCCAGATGTTTTCTCTACTTGTAAAAATACATATACGTATATTTTTCTCTTTTTTACATATAAATGGTATAATACATAATTTTTGGAGCTTGCTTTTATGACAGTGTATCTTATATTTTATATACATATTATTTTTAAGCGTTGGGTGGTGTTCCATTTTACTAATTTGCTGTAATTCATTTAATTTCTCTCATATTGATGAACAAATGAGTGGTCTTCACTTTCTCATCATTCTCATTATTACAAGCAGTGCCCTTGTGAGCGTGATTAAAATTTAAATTTTTGATGCATGCTGCTATTTCTTGCTCCAAAAAGGTTTGCCAGTTATTACATTCTTAACCAAGACCACGGGGGAATTTGTTTGCCTAAGCCTGAGAGATAGTCTTTATTTACTTTTCTTTTTCTTCCCTCCCCCTGCCCCCCCCCCTTTTTTTTTTTTTTTAATAATGGGAAGAGACTGGAGAATGAATTCTGAAAAAGCAGCTAGGGAGCAGCGGGTTGGAGGGCTCAGAGAGAGCAGATAATTGATAAGGAGGGGCTAGGGGAAGTTGAGATCCAGGGTATATGAGGAGACCCAGCCTTAGCCAGGAGCAGGAATCTCTTCTTGGGTTCTAGCAGGGTGGAGGTGGAGGGGGTGGGTGTGCACAGGCATGGGCAGGTTTGCTAGTTTGGAGTCACATGTTCAAGACAGCTTCTTTACCACAGAAGGTGAATCACTGAGAGTGACGATGGAGGTCGTGGGCATGGTAGCTGAAGGAGAGGGGGGAGGGTTTGAAAAGGCTGTTGTGAAGAATGGGAGTGGGAACCGGACATGGCTATCTAGAAGGATTGCTACACAGAGGGAGAGTCCACTCTACAGGTGCATTTGGTTCTCATTTGTGGAAGTTGATCCTATAAATAGCAAACCCTGGACCACTACTTCAGGAGAAGTACAGGGTTAGGTTCCTGTGAGCTTTTGGTCACAACATTTCTGTCACCTGATCAATATTTAACCTTGTTTATGTGCATTTCTGTTCCATGACATCTTATTTAATATCGCCTGTTGATTCTTTAACACGGAACTCCTGGTCAACAGCACTATAACTTATGCCTGCTGAAGCTTATCTAACACATGTCTTCTCTATGAGGCCCATGACAACCTTCTTGCACTTAGGGACACTAGCCAGTCCTTCAGCACTGTGCTTGGGGGCCATTTTAAATAGCAAAATCGCCAACAGAAAGCACAAATGTGAAAAATGTAGCAGTAAACTGACTATGCAAAGGGCGTTTGGCTTACAGAATGAGATGGAAAACAAGGCAGAGAGCGCATTGCTTTCTTCGACTTCACCTCGGAACTTGCACAAGAGGCAGCTCACATTTTTCACCACTCTGTATGTGCATCTGTTCCCAAACACCACGAGTACCCTTTTTGGATTACAAGTAAATTTTATCACGTAGGTGAATTTGCAAACAGGAAATTGTGAATAATTTTTTTTTTCCCCCTCAGCAATAGTCTCTAGACCACGTATAGGTGCAGACTAGGTGGATCGAGGGGGTAATGGAATTTTGTCAGGCATGTGTTTTAGGAAGGACATGAGGCCAACAATTAAAAAATGTTGGCAAGAAAATGTTCTCAGTGATTGCTAGGGAAGGAAGGCTCAGGGTGAGGGCAGATGCTAGGGAAAAAGAAGGATCAACTTCTGGGAGGTACTAGACATTTCAATGAGATTGAGGAAGAAGTGTGTATAGGGAGGAATCAGGTTAGCAAACTGAATAGGAGGATGCCTTCATAGCACTAGATGTTTTAATTTAGTAGTTGAGAGGCAGTTTAGTTCCTCATGGGACAAGATTCAGGAGAGTAACTGAAGTGGAGAAGAAATGCAGGGAGCAAGGAGCCAGGGTCCTTTGACAGAATGAGTCATCTGTGCGCACGAGGGAATTACTCAGGAGAGAGAAAGGAAGAAAGGAAGCCAGAGCTTAGTGTCTGATGAGTGAGAAAGGATGTTTGGGAGGGTGGTATGTGGGATGATAAGGACGAGTTGGTGATGCAGCCACATGACACGGGACTCACAGGAGCAGGGGCCTAGGCAGTAACCTCTCCTGAGCCTCAGAGGGATAGAAAGTGGGAGAAGGAGCAGTCTCCACTTGAGGGAAGGCTTGAGAGGGGTGCATTACATATGCCTTTGGACAAGGAGTTTGATGATGTCGGAGATTGTTTACCAAAGCAGAGGGTTCCAGAGAGCATGAGACACAGTGGAGATTGTGGGGCCAGGAGGAGGCGGGGAGGTTGACTCAGGAGGTGAAGCTCAGAGCAGTATGACCCCAGGGGACTAGAGGGAGAAGTCACAAAAGGGGCTTGTTTCTCAGGCATTGACCAGAGACAGTGGAGTGTGAGGCAGAGTAGGCTTGCCTGGCTCTGAGACTGAGGAGAGAAGCAGCCACTGAGCTCCCTCTGGGTGTGGGGTTGATATAGGGCGGGGGGCAGAGACGTACTTTGCAGGAACCCCCCATCTTGGCTCTGCGAGGGACTCTAGTCTCTCTGGAGGGAGTCAGCTCAGTTGCAAATCTGATATATGTAACATATCAAGACATTCTAATTGAAAAAATATTCATATAGAAGATGAAATATAAAAAGCCCATCCTTCCCTTTTGGCCTCTGCGTTCTCATTCCCACTTCTCAGAATAAATCATTGTCAGGGCACCTGGACCCAGGCTCAGTCGTTACGTGTCTGCCTTCAGCTCAGGTCATGATCCTGAGGCCCTGGGATCGAGCCCCGCATCGGGCTTCCTGCTCAGCAATGAAGCCTGCTTCTCCCTCTCCCACTCCCCCTGCTTGTGTTCCCTCTCTCGCTGTGTCTCTCTCTGTCAAATAAATAAATAAAATCTTTAAAAAAAAAAAAACGAAAGAAATCGTCCATATTTTGGCATATATTCTCAGAGCTTTTTTTACTGTGAATTTACATTTATATGTGCATGTGTAAGTATGTACATAAATGTGTATAAATACATATACTTATGTGTATATATGTATACAGACTATCACATATGTGCACACACATAAAAATACACATGAATTCATGTATATATAATTTTTCTCATGCACTGACTCATCCTGTACGGTTTGTTTTGCCACTTGGATTTTAATAGTGTGGCAGTAAATAGACAGCTCCCTTATTATTCGGGGATTGTTAATTGCCCTGGCGCTGTGCTCTAGTCTCAGGCTTCTGGTTTGGAGTGTTCAGAGGTCTGGGGTGTTGTGTGGTTCCACATCTGCAGTGCTAGTGGCAAGGAGACTGAGAGGCTGAACTTCTCTCTAAGAGCCCAAGGCAGAGAGTGACCCAGCTGAGACCTCCTAGACCCATGTGACCTTTTAACTCAGAACTTCCCCAGGAGGAACCGTTCAGACAGATGCATGGCCTCAGCATCCAGCATGCATTACATAAAGTGAGTTCTTATTGGCATTCCAGGGAACCTGTCTCATCTAAGTAGGAATTGACGAAGGCCTTTCTTTCTCCCAACCCAGCTACGGGTAGAGAGGAGAAGCCATTGACTTCTCTCTATGTACCAGCCTTGATCTGGCCAAATGTCACTGTCTGCAGAGCTCTGTAAAGGCTAAGGGCCAGCATTTAGGCAGTGGACAGCACGGCGTCAACCCTGGGACTCTGCAGGGGCTGCGTACCCTGTGTGGGGCCGGCTCCTTCCCTGCCGGCCCTCCTTGGTGATACGTGCTGGTACAAAATAAAGAATGCAGAGAGGACATGTATATGTAGGAAAATCATTCTTCCCCCAGTATCTGTGTGCTCCTAATATAACTAGGAAGAATGCCAAAGCACCGCAGCTCAGCTCTTCCCAATGAATCGCCTTTGCCTTTAGATTTTTGTCATTTTGTTCACTTGCTTTTGTTGCTGTTAATGAGGGTGCTTTGATTAACATAGGCTATTTACACTTGATGTCCATGGTTTTTTTTGGTTTTTTGTTTTTAAAAGATTTTATTCATTTATTTGACAGAGAGAGAGAGAGAACAAGTAGGCAGAGAGGCAGGCAGAGGGAGAGGGAGAAGCAGGCTTCCCGCTGAGCAGGGAGCCCGATGCGGGGCTCGATCCCAGGACCCCGGGATCATGACCTGAGCCGAAGGCAGCGGCTTAACCGACTGAGCCACCCAGGTGCTCCGATGTCCATGTTTATTCTTGCACTGAAATCAATAGATTTTGTTTTATTTTGTAAGTAAGTTTTGTACATAGATATTCTGGGTATTTTGGATTTCTTTTTGTTTTTTTAGTCAGTCATCATGCTTTACCTATTTCAGGTTTGTGGATACCGGATAAAATTGCACTTTGATGGATATTCTGATTGCTATGACTTCTGGGTAAATGCAGATGCTCTGGATATTCACCCAGTGGGGTGGTGTGAGAAAACTGGCCATAAACTCCATCCTCCGAAAGGTATTGTCACTTTTCTGTTTCATATTTTAAATTCTGTAAAAGCTTCTTTCCTTACATGGTGATTTGGAATTTTTAAGAATTCAGACTTTATAATGATTCAGATAGGCCCAAATTCAAGCTTATTGTTTATGAAGAAAAATTCATTCATTAAAGTGAAAGAAATGTAAAAAGTAGAATCCTATTTAAGAGAATAAACTATGTCCATGTACTTCTTTGTATATAAAATAATATTTGATTGATACTTAATTTTGAATACAAATTTTAGTTACAGATTTCTTTCATACACACACCCATGCGCCGCCCCCCCCACCCCCCCACACACCTGACTCTTGAACAACACAGGGGTTAGGGGCGCTATCTCCCAGCACAGTTGAAAATCCACATGTAACTTTTGACTCGGTAAAAACTTAATTACTAATAGCCTACTGTTGACCAGAAGCTTTACTCTTAATATAAATAGTCAGTTAACACATGTTTTGTATGTTACATAGATTATATACTATATTCTTACAATAAAATAAGCTAGAGAAAAGGAAACATTATTAAGAAAATCATAAGGAAGAGAAGATATGAATAAGTGGACCTGTACTGTGCAAATCCATATTGTTCATATGGATAAATACATATATCCTTGAAAAAACACATTGGAAAATTTAGTTCTAACCTACTTAAATGACTAAGTTTACTTACTGATATTTCATTATATAGAGAATCTCAAGAAATTATGCATTGAATTCTTGAATCTTAATATTTAGAAGATTGGAAAGGAGAATATAGCATTAAAAGCTGGTTTAGATGGGGGTTGAATTAATAGCAATTACTTTTTTATTCTTGAGTTCTTTATAGGACAGTCTGGCAGTCATTCTGCCTGTTTCATTTTTACATAAAGATCCAAGAATAACAACCGTCCTGTTCAGTCCATCCCTAATGTATTTAACAATATCTTATTTCTTTCCTTTTCACCTGTTACGTTCAGTATTGTTTACTTGATGTCAAAGGTCCAGGTGACTAGTGTGATATATTTGGCCTGTCTCAGGACTCTCATTTTTTCATGCACTAGCCACCCTTTGGTTTTAAGTGAAAAATTAATGGCAGAATGGTATTTTCAGATGGCTGAAGGATTAAACAAAAACACAGAGAAAAAAATGAAGGTGAAAAAGAAAATGTGCATGCCTTTATATAAATTGACCTCCTATATGTGGCAAATTATTAGCTGTACTTTTAATGCTGCCTTTTGGACTTCAATGGAAGTAGAAGAGAGAACATGAGCAGATAAAATAAAATACTCAATTTCCTTTTTAAAGGAAATGTTGGCTTCAGCAACATTATATGTGAAATTGTGAGCATTAAGGCAAGGACATTTCCATTATTGTAATTTGCCAACATGCTTACTTCATAAATCTTGAATTGTCATTCTGGTGGTGATAGGCTAAAAAGATTTTTCTGTTTTATTACTATTTTCTCCAGTTTCCCACTTGTTCCTACAAGTGAGTTTCTCAAAATAGAACAGGGGAGGAGAAAATAAAGATTTTGACTCCTCCGGCTTACTCCTCTACTGCTGAGCAGTTCCACCTAAATATTGGTAGAAATGGCCTGGTAATAAGACGCAGACCTGAGTATAATATGTATTTGCTTCCTTTTACCTTTTCTTTATATCCGTTATCATTCATTTGGAATTGAAAAAAACTAATATGATTTGTTGGAAATTAACACAGCCTGTGTAAGAAAATCTATAGTTACGAATTATGAGTTAAATTTTGTCTTTTTAAAAAATCAGTTGTTTGATTTCAACATGTTGGAAGTATAGCTAAAAGTGGGAACGGAAAATTAAGTGTGAAGTATTTTGACACTTTACTAAGTCCAATATGTGCTTATCCAAGGTTATAAAGAAGAAGAATTTAATTGGCAGACCTATCTTAAGACATGCAAAGCTCAAGCTGCTCCCAAGTCATTATTTGAAAATCAGAATATAGTAAGTACATCCAAAATACTTTTCCTTTCAAGGGAAATGACTTGTGAGTGTTTCGTAGGTTAAAAGTGATACCAAGAGACTATAGTAAATTTTATTGCTTTGGTAAATAGAGTACTCTTAATTAAATTTTAAAATTTGCTTAAACTCATCATGAATAAATATTTCATAGGCAAATCATGGTTATTGTGTTTTATTTAAGGGTAGAAGGCAACATAGTATGAAACCCTGGTGTAATTTACGGTAAAAGTACATTTAAAAAATTGAAATTGAGCAGGATATTTTATTGTTAGTGTCCCTTGCTTAGAGTGCTGTTCACATGGGATTCATGCAGTGAGATGAGTGTAGTCCTGTTTGTATTTGCATGCTAGGGACGATGATTTACCTTCACTCCGGTGTGTGGCTTTATTTTGCCTAATGACAGAAGCAAAGTCTGGATGTGTATGTATTTCCCGCTTTTTTGACCTGTGTTCCCACTTTCCGTGGCGTGTTCCCTGTTGCATCTCTGAAGAAGCCCAACATGTTACACTCTTCTTTCTTGTCCACATTCTGATCTAATTGGAATTAACAGAGAGCAAGCAGGTGGAAAGCCAAAATACCATCTCTATAACAGATAAGGGCTCAGTTGGAGTACATGCATGGCCTCTATCTGTTGAGGAATGAGCTTTGTGATTCTGAGACCTAGAATTACGATTTCCTGACCCTTCTGCCCCATCCCCCAAGCCCAGGAGCATTGGACCAGGGCAGACCTACACCCCTGCAGGGACAGGAGCAGATGGAAACTGCGTGCCCTGTAGGCCAACTTACTTTTAAGAGTATGACCACTTCCTTCTTCCAGAATCACCAGTCAGGTAACAGTGAGTGAGAAGGTAGAAAGAGACAATAATGTTTCAATAATGGGGTTCCCTCCAAATGGAAATGAATATTAGGAGTGGGCAGAAACTTTCTCACCCATTCCAAATACCGTCCATTTGGGAAATGATTTTAACCAGTTGTTTTGAGCATTGGTCTGATGACTAAAAGAGTCTCTGATCAAATTGAGCATAAGCCAGGTCGAATTAGAGAACTCAAGAGGGTGTGTGTGTGTGTGTGTTTAGGTAACTAATAGAACTAATGAGCCAGATCATTATTTTAAAATCCCTTAATTGAGAGGAGAGCTTAATTACTGAAATGTAAATACTGTGTTGTCAGTAGGTATTCTCTGTCAAGACAAGGGAGGAAGGTCAGTTAGGTGGAAAATTCAGCAGCCTGCTCCAAGATTCCTCCTAATCCCTGTCTGTTCTCTGAGGATGCATTCAGTCAGGGATTTGATTAATTGCCTTGAACCATCATCTTAAATTCTGTGCATTGCTAGCACACAACTTAATCTTGGGCTATGAGTTTGATATCCAAGAAGAAAGTAATTTTTCCATTTCTAGATTCTTCTACCTCAGAATATTCAAATATTTGTGGTCAGAACCCTGGTAAATAATTTCAGGACTTAAATGTATCATCAAGGTGTCTGTGTGGCATTAATGCCTACTCCTTCTATTCATATAAGACATCTGCTAACGTTTTCAGATATGTGGCTGTCTACATTTTTGTGATGATAGCTGTATAATTATAGTAAAATGGGAGATAACACTTGTTTTGCTTAAAGTAATTAGAATAGTATCTGTATACTTAAGTCTGGGCAGAGGATTTTTTTTTTTAGAAGGACAGAAATGACTTGTGTGTTATGATTGGCATTAGTAATATCCCAGTACACTTCTCCGAGTTAGGATAGTTTTCCTCACACAAGATCCTAAGGAATGTTTACATTTTACTGCACCTCAAGCACTAAATCTTACTGAGCTATTATTGTCTTAGTTCCATGTCCCAGATGGCTGGTCATTTGGTTTTCCTTATATTACAAACTATTTTGAGTGGCTATATATGTTCAGCCAGTTCTTTTGGTGCTTTTGTGAATAATATCTATAGTGTTAGGTAAAAGTTGTAATAATTTACAGCCTTTCATGTCTGAAGATGACCTAGTTTCAGTAGAGTACTCTTTAGAGAGATCTTTTCAAAAATGGGAGTGAACTTGCACGGACTCATACACATTTTTAACTTGATTGAGTGCATATTTTGTGTGAAATAATTTTCATTGTTAAGTCTGTAGTCAAGGACAAGAAAAGCAAAAAGTGAACTATATGGTGAATTAAACTCGCCCAACTGGTAACTGCAGTGCCAAAACACATATTGAAATGAACTAAACTCTGTGAGGTTATGGGTGGTTTAGTCTTGATATCCAGATAGTTGACTTGGGTGTACCAACAGGACATTGTTTTCTCACTGCTGCTCATTGGAAAGCGACCCTGCTCTAAAACTAGTACATGCTCTTTAAGTAACGTGAATGCAGCTGACGGATGCCGGGTCTTTGGGTGGGAGGTGTAGAGAGGGTCCAGATCTCGCTGTTAAGTGTGTGCTTATCTCTAATTAAATCTGTGTGTTTCGTAGACAGTGATCCCGTCAGGCTTTCGAGTTGGAATGAAGCTTGAAGCTGTAGACAAAAAGAATCCTGCGTTCATCTGTGTTGCTACGGTAACAGATATGGTGGACAATCGTTTCCTGGTACATTTTGACAACTGGGATGAGAGCTATGACTATTGGTGAGACCTTTTCCGTTGCTGTGTGCTTTCTGTAATGGGTGTATTCAAGTCCACCAGGTGTACATGGTTTGAAAACAATAATAATGCCAAGCTCGTGACAAAAAATAACAGTGCCTTGTCCCACTCCTTCCCATTTCAGATTTTTGACTTTTCACCTGTTTCATATGGCACATATTTCTAAATAGTATCCTTTAATTTGACTTTATGTCTTGTATTTTAACTCACTTCCTGCTGTGGAAGTGCGGTTTACCTCCTGCCCAACACATGTTCACGTGGGAGTGCACAGAGATGCATACTTCCCCCCTCATCGTGGGTATCCATTTTCTCAGAAAATATTTTAATTCTCCTTCATATTTTTATTCCCAGTAGCTAATTGAACCATTTTTAATTGCCAGATATAAATAAATTAGTTGAGGAATATTGTTTTTAATCCTTAGAGTTTTGGGACAAACTGCATAAAGTAGTGGGAGCAAAATATTATAAAATTATATAACTATATACAATAAAGCCATCATATTTTGATTAAGGAGTTGAAATAATGATTTCCATACCTAATTCATGTTTATTGATCATTACAATTCAGTTTCCTGGTGAAAGGCATTTCTGAAGTATTTAATTCCTTCCTAGAACACTGGCAGTGAGAACATTTTAGAGCAGTGACACGTATCTTTATAAAATATGGCTAGTGTTACAGTATCAATTGAATAATAATTTATATAGGTGTTGCTACATTTTGGGGAAGCTTGTTTCCTGACCTTACCTTTTAGTATGCCTATATTTAAAAATTCAGCAGAGTCATCAATAATTTCCATTACTCCTCAAATTAAATTCTTAGACACTCACCAGTTTTACTTATATTGTTTTAAAAAGGAGAGGCATTGAAAGCCATTTGCTATTCATATTTTTTAAATGCTTTCTATTATACATTACATGTGCTTTTTACAGAATTTTTTTAAGGGTAGACAAGCAGTTCCATGATTATACCACACAGAGTCAAGTACTTCTGAATATTTTGGTGTGTTTTTCCCCAGCTTTTTTCTGCAAAGCATAATTTTCCCCATAGCATGTCTTTTCATTCAGTTTGCAATAAAAATTTTTATTGAAATATAGACCATTTCAAGCATGTACAAAAGCAGAATAAGAGAGACCTGCCTGTAGCCGTTATGCAGCATCAGTAATTATCAACTTAAAATTCACTCTTGTTTTCTCTGTATTCCTTCTCCTAAAATCCCCACTCCAGGATTATTTTGAAGCAAATTCCAGATAGCATAGCATTTCATCTGTATATATTTCAGTATGTATCTTTTAAACATAGGGATTCTTTTTCTTCAAATTCATAATGTTATAAATGCCGTAACGTTATTAACATACTTAAACATTCTTCCCAGTTGTCTTAGTTTTGGTTTTTTGTGTTTTGTTTTGTTTTTTGGTTTTTTTTAGATTTGATGGTTTTAAATCCAAATGAGGTGTACACTTTGTGATTGTTTTGATGTTTCTCTTCATCTCTTAATTTATAGATTCCTATTCCTCTTTTTCTACGCCTTGTAACTTTTACTGAAGAAACCAGAGTGTTTGTCCTGTTGAGTCTTCCACAGTCTGGATTTGCTGATTGAATTCTCATATTGCTTACCATGTTCATCTGTTCCTCATATTTCTTACTAATTGGTGGTTTTTGTTTCATTCAAAATTATCTGTACCTAACTTGAGTGAGGGAATCGATGAGAAAACATTTAAATTTAGTAACACTGTAAATCTGTTCTGAGATTGAACGTGTTTCTCCCCTGCTGTGTTTGATGTGCTATAATGATGACAGTACCAGAGTGATGACCAGATCCCTTAATAAAGTGATACTTTAGGGGCGCCTGACTGGCTCAGTCAGAAGAGCTTGTGACTCTTGATCTTAGGGTCATGAGTTCGAGCCCCATGTTGGGTGTAGAGATTATTTAAATAAATATTTTAAAAAATAAGTGAGGGGCGCCTGGGTGGCTCAGTTGTTAAGCGTCTGCCTTTGGCTCGGGTCATGATCCCGGGGTCCTGGGATCAAGCCCTGCATCAGGCTCCCTGCTCCACGGGAAGCCTGCTTCTCCCTCTCCCTCTGTCCCTGCTTGTGTTCCCTCTCTCGCTGTGTCTCTCTCGGTCAAATAAATAAATAAAATCTTTAAAAAAGTTAAAAATAAATAAATAAGTGATACTTTAAAGCAATTACTAGAATCTGCTAGAATGTGAGTGCTTTTATTTTTAAAGTTCTGATTCATTTAGGGAGATTTTTATTTTTTAGCTTTTGTCTGATTTAAACAAAATGGGTAAATGTTTGTTATTTTTGTGGTCTTAGATGTATTAGAGAGTTTGAAAAGTATAAGTTGTTTATTTGACATAAGATACATTTCCTTTAAAAACATTTTTCTGGAAAAAAGTAATGAAAAGCCTAGAAGACTTTGTCACATTCATTTTTCTTTGATGCCAAATGCCTAGGGAATAGGAAAGATATTGGGTTCTTTTAAAAAAAATGATCTCTTTTAACACTGATTTTTGTACTTTTATGAGCACAAACTAATTATTTTTAGGACAGAATGTACTTTGAGGATTTACTTACACTTTTAACTATTGACATGAAATCATATTTTGTTAATTGTCAGAAAAAGTACAGTGTGTTCTCTTTCTCAATATGTAATTATGGCACATTGAAAATTGCTTAAATGCATTGGAATTTCTCCAGCATTATTTAGTATTATGTTCTTTGATCTTTGAATTTTGGAATGGTTTTTATCTGCATAAATTACTTGTTTAGGTATGCAATTGAGGTTACAAATTGGATTGCTTTCCCAATTTAAAATAGTTTGGAAATGAGATTTTTTTTTCCCTTTGAATTGGATAGTGATCTTACCTCTTTTTTTACCTTAGTGGGAATTGGAAAACGTGTATAGTTGACCCTCGTACAGTGTGGCAGGGTAGGGGCCCTCACTCCCAGCGCAGTCACAAATTTGTTTTGACTCTCCAAAAACTTAATAGCCTGCTGTTGACCGGAAGCCTTACCGATCATATAACCAGTTGATGAACTTGTATTTTGTATGTTATTGAGTGTTATATACTGTATTCTTTTTTTTTTTTAAAGATTTTATTTATTTATTTGAGACAGAGAGAATGAGAGAGACAGAGAGCACATGAGAGGGGGGAGGGTCAGAGGAAGAAGCAGGCTCCCTGCTGAGCAGGGAGCCCGATGCAGGACTCGATCCAGGGACTCCAGGATCATGACCTGAGCCGAAGGCAGTCGCTTCACCAACTGAGCCACCCAGACGCCCTATATACTGTATTCTTACAATAAAGTAAGCTAGAGAAAAGAAAATATTATTAAGAAAATCGTAAGGAAGAGAAAACACATTTATAGTACTGTATGTATTGGAAAAAATCCACATAGAAGTGGACTCATGCAGTTCAAACACGTATTGTTCAAGGGGTCAACTGTATAAAATCTGTGTACATTTGTAGTAGTACAAATGCAGTGAAACATTTCTTCCTTCCAAAGAGGAAAACTGAAAATTTATGCAGAGTTGAAGTAGTTTTTCATGAAAGGAAAATAGTATATGTTAGAATAAATTTTGCTTTACCTCTGGGTTTCCATGTGCTTTTATTATACTGGTAATTGCTAGCTGCTTAAATCTATCCCCTTGACAGTCATTAGATTTATTAATAATCCTAAGTAACTCCGAATAGTAGAACTAGAAAGGACTTGAAAGAAAGCTGGGGAGGAACACCATCCAGGCGAGGATGCCGCTGTCTTCCCAAAGCAGTGTGCCGCCTCTCCTCCCGTCTTCCGCCGCCTGAAAACTGGGCTCCGCAGCGGAGCACTGATGTGAAGGAGCATCCCTTCCCTTCCCCCAGGCGCTGGCCAGGAACCTTCTTTTTAGAAATTTTATTTTCATGTGATCTCATCGTATGGGAACCAGGAAGGCATGGCAGGACTTAGCTGATTGTTGAGTAGAAAAGCTGTCGCATTGAGGTTGTGGCTTCAGCTGTCCCTGAATTTCGGTCTGGTCTCCCAGGTGAGGCAGGGCAAAAAAATCAACAAGCAGATCTATGAAAAAGAGAAGCATTGAGTTAGTGAATTAGAACAAACAGGAGGCTAGGGCCTTTATCTCCAAACTTTGTTGTTGCTCTTTGTTTTTTGTGGTTTTGTTTTGTTTTGTTTTGAGATGGAGTTCTTTTACATTTATAAATTGAGAATAATAGTAATATTATGTTTGTCCCCAAAGTAATGTTGAAAAGTTTGCAGCATGTTGTCAGTTTCCGAGAGGAGTGTCAAAGTTAATAGGTTTGTCATCATTTGAGAAGCATGGGTTGATGGTGGTCATGAGTTACAGAGATGAAAGGAACCTAGGAAGCTTGCAGTTCTGCCCTGGGGGGCTCAGGGTCTGGGGAGGGACAGAAACTACAGACTCCACTGTCTAGGCTGCAGGGTAGGTGGTTTATGCTTAGTAGAACCAGCCACTTGCGGTCTAAGGTGGCCGGTGGAGGGAAGGACTGACTGACTGAATGGAGGGTTCTTGGGGAAGGCTTCCTGGAGGCTGTGGGATTTGAGCTGGACCATGAAGGAGGATAGGAATCAGTACTTGGATGTTGGGATGGAATATTCCTGGCCAAGGAAAGCGTTTGCTCATATTTAGGCCCAGGGGGGCAAACAAAGCTGTGTTTGGGGACTGGCAGCCCATCCATTTAGTAAGTGACTGTACTCTTCCAAGCTTTAGTTGCCCCCTTTGCAAAAGGGATGTTACTACGTATCTCATAGGGTGTGGTGAGGATTAAAATAAAAGTTTTAGAAGCAGAAACTAGTTTGCAGAAGATTAAAGAGATACCTGTAAGGGACTTCAGGCAGAGAAGTTTGGCCCTGAGGGCGAAAGTGGATTATGGCGTGGGGAGGGTGGGGGGGTGCAATCAAAGGTCAGGGCAGGGTTCCCTGCACAGAGTTTTGAGCTTGGTTTTCAGGCTGCAGAAATGAGGCCACC